CTTCCTCTTCCTCCCACTTCCAAAAGTGGGCATCTTTTGGAGTATCTATAAAAATTTGGCAGTATGTATAAAAAAAAACATGCAAATACTCTTCAGTCCAGTGGTTCTGCTTTGAACACTGGATCCACAGATAATCTCACATGTGAGCTACCATATGTAAGTAAGAAGGTTTATATAATATTACTAGTAATGAGGAACTATTGGAACTCACCTATCAGTTGAGAGGAAGGGATAGGAGATTAGGTAGAAGCCACTCTATCAAGTTTTACACAACATGTAAGAAGGATGAGGCCAGCCTTCATATGAAATTGAAATTTCCAAGCTGTTAAGTACAAGTCAAGTTTCAGTATATATAGTATAATCTTATTTTTTGGTTAAAAAAAAAGGTTTTTTTAAGTACTTACAAAGCAAGTCTCTACATTTCTCCATGTCATGTGGTAGGTAGTGAGGGAAGAAAAGAAAAGATACGCCAGGAGGGGTGCCTGGCTGGCTAGGTTGGAAGAGCATAGTCCTCTCTATCTCAAGCTTGTAAGTTTGAGCCCCACATTGGGTGTAAAGGTTACTTAAAAAAAAAAAAAAAAAAAGATAAGCTAGGCTACTCAAACTCTTCTCAGTGATTAGCTGGAAGTAAAGGTGAGGAAAGAGCAGAAGGGAAGCTGAGAACAGAGCCCCCCCCACCCCACCCCCGCCCTCCCCTAGGGGTGGGGGGTATGTGTGACAGTCCCCCAGGAAACTTCCAAACTCTCTTAATGTTAATGATTTGCTACAGTGAAAAACAACCTTAACTTGATAATAGCAAGGCCTCCAGTATCCTAAGGGTCTTCTTTAGCATATGAAAGTCTTTTTTTATTTTTTTATTTTTAAAGATTTTATTTGTTTATTTATTTATCAGAGAGAGATCACAAGTAGGTGGGGAAGCAGGCTCCCCACTGAGCAGAGAGCCCGATGCATCCCAGGACCCTGAAATCGTGACCCAGGACCCTGAAATCGTGACCCGAGCCAAAGGCAGAGGCTTTTTTTTTTTTTTTTTAAAGATTTTATTTATTTATTTGACAGACAGAGATCACAAGTAGGCAGAGAGGCAGGCAGAGAGGAGGAAGCAGGCTCCCTGCTGAGCAGAGAGCCCGATGTGGGGCTTGATCCCAGGACCCTGGGATCATGACCTGAGCTGAAGGCAGAGGCTTAACCCACTGAGCCACCCAGGCGGCCCCCGAAAGTCTTTTTTAAAAAAATACTTAATTTAACTTATTTGGCACAGATTGAGAGAGAGAGAGAAAGAGAGAGAGAGAGGTGGGCACAAGCAGGGGGAGTGGCAGGTAGAGGGAGAGGGTGAAGAAGGCTCCCCCATGAAGAGGGAGCCTGATGTGGGGCTTAATCCCAGGATCCTAGGATCATGACCCAAGCTGGAGGTAGCTGGTCAACCGACTGAGCCACCCAGGTGCCCCTATGAAAGTCCTTTTGGACACCTCCCCTTTTCTTCACCTCCCCCAATTCTCAAGTATATAATCAGTCACCCCTCACAACCCCAGGGAAGCAGCTCTTTCTGCCTTCAGGTCCTGTCCCTGTGGTTCCATAAAATCACCTTTTTGCACCAAAGACATTTCAAGAATTCTTTCTTGGCTGGTGCATCCTGACCTCATCAATATTCCAAAACTACATCAAAGGTGCAGTTTTGGAGATGTGTGTGTGTTATGTGCAATGAAATCAACTAATGAATTAATTATGCGATTAAAGAAATTGAATCAACCCCATTGCACTGAGCATAGGGCCAGCTGGAAAAGTGTTTAATCGATAGTTGCTGCTTATAATCAATATTGCCCAGAGCTGGCTTCCGGAAGCTGGTTATTGACTGAGCCCCAGGGAAACCTTTATGAATTTTTAAAAATTGTAACTCAAAAGATATAATTGCCCTTCAAGGGTCTTTTTCTTTTTTTTTTTTCTTTTTTAAATAATCCACCCCATTACCAAGGGTTTAAAAACCAGGTGATCTGGGCCCTGGCTCCCACCTAAACCTCATCTCTCCCCAATCCCTTCAGCTCATAACCTTCTGTCCTTCCTCAAAGACCCCAGTCTTTCCCACCTCAGGGCCTTTGCACATATGGTGGCTTTCTCTGCCTGATTCCTATTCATCCTTCAGGTCTCTGTTTAAATGTTTATACTTTCCCTGACAACCCCCAAACCTCAACTATTCTTTTCCATGGGGCCCTGCTCTTTTCCTGAAGTAATGTTATCACAACTGATAGTTATCAATTTATCTGCAGGCTCACAGCTCTGTCCTCAGGGCCCAGATCATCCAAGGTACAGGTTAAACATCTGCTCAGTGTCTGAATCCCCACTGCCTCTCCAGCACGCTCCCATCCTACCCCAAGGGAGGGAGGTCCAGCACACAGTAGGGGCTTGGCCAGACTAGGGAGTCTTTATAGAATGGAGGAGAACTGAGACAAAGCCATGTGTTCTGTGTGGAGATGGCTGGCTCAGACCCCAGAGAGGGGGACAAGTTTGGAAAAGGACAGGCATTCCTGGCCTCATTCCCAGCTCTCTTTTCCCCCCACCCCATCCCAGAACTTCTAAGGCGCCAATGGAGACTCTGGGTGGGTGGCAGGTTCCAGCCTGGGGACAGGTTCCTTCCCACTTTTTCTGACTAAGGGCTAGAGAGAAGCTGGTCTGGAAGAAAATGTCAAAGTAAAAAACAATGCAGTAATTGACTCTTGCTTGCTGCCATTTGAAAGGAATGAAAGTGGGATTAACCAAAAAAACAAAATCTAAACCAAAACCAAAACAAAAACACTCTACTGTTTTAGACCCTGCCTTGGAAACAATCATCTTACTGTTTTCTGTGTCATAATAAAATTAAAGGTTTATCCAAGAGCTTTGTTCTTCTGCACTTGGCCTTGTGCAGTGTACAGGGAGGCTGGTCTCTGGGTTTGCAGCTACCAAGAAGCACCGCTCATTTCAAGTGCCCACTGCCTGTGGGGTGGGGAGAAGGGTCTCAGGGGCCTTGTGGCGAAGGGGTAGGACATCCAGGGTAGGGGAAGGGCTCAGTCATCATCCACCAGTGATATTTTCATCAGATATTGGCCATCAGATCTTGTCACTCTCCTGTTAGAAACCCACCAGGCCTTAGAATAAAATGTTAACCTCTCTCCTCCATTACTGAGTAGGCAGAAAAATAACTACTCAAATGTCTCAGACCCTATCCCTGGAATCTGTACATTTTACTGTATAAAGAAAAAGACTCCTTGCAGATTAAATTAAGGTTCTTGAGGTGGGAGGTCATCCTGGATTACCTGGGTGGGCCTTAACCCAATCACAGCTGTCTTTACAAGAGGGGCCAAGAGAGATTTGATCCATACAGAAGAGGAGTCATCAATGTGATTTTTGAGGCAGAGATTCAGGAGATGAGGTCACAGGTCAAGGAGTGCCAGAAGCAACCACCAGGAACTGGAAAAGCAAGAAACAGATTCTCCTCTAGAGCCTTCAGAGGAAGACCGGCCCTGCTGACACCTTGATTTTGGCTAACTGAAACTGATTGCAGATTTTAGACCTCTAGAACTATATGGAAATAAATTTCTGGGTTGGTTTTGTTGTTGTTTGTTTTTGTTTTTTTTTTTTAAAGATACCACAGTCAGGTGGCAGCCATAGGAAACTACTAGGGCCATCATCTAAATAGCCCTCTGGGAACTGGTCCCTGCCTACCTGCTGAGCTTCCCCCCTTGCTCATGTTACCCCCACCCCACCAATAATCCTCAAACTGTCTGGCTTCCTCCAGCTCCAGGGCCTTTGCACTTACTAAGTTCTTCCCAAGGCCGGCCCTACTGATAATTCAGCTCTCTGCCTAAATGTCACCTCTCTGAGAGGTCTTCTCTGGCCAGTTTATCTAAAAATTGCCTTCTGGCCATCTCCGTCACATCTATTTTATTGTAGTCACAGCATTCGTCACTGACGTTTTTTCTTCCCAGTCTATCACTTGTCATACCCAGTAGAAAGTGGGATCGGAGAAGCCTTGCCTGGCTTGTACCTGCTGTATCCCCAGGGTCTAGGATAGGGCCTGACATATAGTAGAGGTTCTGCAAACACTGGTTGATAAATTATCTGTGCAAGCCTTTATGGCCTGAAGGGGGTTTGTGTGTGCTTGTGAGTGTGTGTGTGTGTGTTTGTGCGCGCGCGCGTTTCAGGGTGCAGGTGGACTAATGAGACCATAACTCCAACATCATCTCCCACCTTGTGAATGCCCCTCATGCATGCCCTTGTCACGTTGTGCCAGGAGCTTCTGTGAAGTGAGGTCCTTTCATATCCCTATATTACAGACGAGGAAGCTGAGGCTCAATGATCTTCTAAGTTACTGCTTAGTATGTTCAGAAGTGGAAACCACGTAAATTGAGTCACGAGCAGCCTCAGTCAACTATAGACCCTTACCTCCTGGGTGCCGGGGCCCATCTCCCAGGACTCCTGCAGAGATGCGGATCACGCTGTAAGGAGAAACTTCAGAGAGGCCCCTAGAGGCATCCAGGAGAGGCATCCAGGACAGGCCTGGGAGTACTGCACTCTCCCAACCCCACTTACCTCCCGCTTGGAAGTCACCTGCTGGCAGGGGGCGGAGCATCGGTGAAAGCCGCACCGACTTTCTGAGGGAGATTCCCAGGAGGTGGCTTTCCTTGGGAGAGAAAAGTGCGGCTCTCCAGGCTGGCTGTGGCGGAGCCGTCTCACTGACTGCGGCCTCAGTAGCCCCATCTGGAAAGTGGACGCGGCCACGAACGGCTCGAGGCGGAGCCGGCCGGCGGCGAGCGGAGGGTTAAAGGGGCGGGTCCCGCGGTGGGGGCGGGGCCGGAGCTCGGCCGCACCTGGCCGCTGGCAGCTCCCCGCCCCGACGCCGCGCGTCGCGCAGAGAGCCTCTTCGGGAGCGGGAGCCCCCGCGGAGGAGCGGCTCTGCAGCCAGCACCCACCGCGGGGAGGGGCGGCGGCGGCGGCCGGAGAGACGTCGGGAAGCGAGCGGAACCGCCATGGCCGAGTTCCCGTCGAAAGTGAGCACGCGGACCAGCAGTCCCGCGCAGGGCGCCGGCGCCTCCGTCTCCGCGCTGCGCCCGGACCTGGGCTTTGTGCGCTCCAGCCTCGGTGCGCTCATGCTGCTGCAGCTGGTGAGCGCGCGCGGGGCCGCGGGGTCCGGCTGGGGGGGCGGCCGGGCCGGGAGGGCTCGGGGCTGCCTCCTTTGCTCCCAGTCCTCCCTCACCTTAGGCTCCGACGCGCCGCGACGCCCCTGTCCCCCGGGCGCCTCCAGGACGCACGCCCCCAAGACCACCCTCAGCCCTCTCACTTCGACACGTCCCCGTTGCCGTCGCCGCGAGCACCCGTGTTCAGAGTGCCCACTCGCGCGCGCCCCATCGTCCCGCGAGGTGGTCACTGGAGGCCAGACAAAGGAGCGCTCACAGACGCACAGTCACTGCGCCCAATTCGCTCTGTCTCCCAGCCTCTCTGTCACCCAGCCTCTCTGTCTCAGTCTCTCTCTGTCTCTCTCTGCCAGGGCAATGCCCCCAGCCCTCCAGGACACGCGGCCTGAGTGAAGCAAAGTCCACTCCGAGGGGCTCCGCGTGGCCGAGCCCCAGCCGCTCCTTTTCTAAGCGAGAGGGCACCTCGGTGCCGGCGCGTACCTTTAGGCGCTGCCCCTGGCCTCTTGGCGCGGGGACCGGGCTTTTCTGGCTTCCACTGGTTGCCCCACCGGGTTCCAGCCGGTTTGGCCGGCCCCAGGGGGCCGAGATACCGCGCCTAGCGCGGACGGGAGGGATTCGTGGGAAACCAGAGGCATTTGCAAGGTTCCGAAGCCTCCCAGACCCTGTGCGGATCCCAGCAGAGTCGGACTGATGGGAACACCTCTCTCCCCACACACTGGTTTCAGGCCTGGCGGTTTTCTGTTTCTTCCCACGGTACCCTCTGGTGGGTCAGGAAGCCGGGTGGCTGCCCCTGTGGGAGACTTCCCCAGCAACTGAGGGTCCCGAGGACTAAGGTGGAACTGGAGGTGGGCCAGGATCCATTTTCTTTTAGGGCATGTCCGTCGTCCCCATCCTGCCTGATCCTGGTTTGGTTGGAAGGCTGAGAGGCTGGGTAGTCTGACAGACACATGGTGCCCCTTCCCCTCCCCAGCACCTGTCTCCACCTAGGTCAGTGCTAGCTCTGTTTCAGGGTTTCACAGATCTGTCTCTGGCCCCTCAGCCCCCACACCAGCCTCAGACTCTCTTGGAAGGGTTTAAAATGTAGAGTCTTAATCCCCACCCCCTGGAAAAAATGTGGAATTGGAATTTCAGGAAGTGCAGCCCAGAAATCTACATTTGTAATCTTCTCCTAGAGTTGTTTTGGAGATTCTCAGGGTGGGTAAGACGTCCCATGGGGCCGGATTTAAATTGGCAGGTTTGCATGCTGCACTCCAGGACCATTGAGAAGGTGGCAGGGAGCGGGAAGGGAGCCTCAGGGCTGGGCTGAAGGGGCAGAGGAGAGGCAGATGAATTTGGAGTCCTGGGAGGTTCCTGAAGGAGAGGGAACTTTTGATTTCACTGAACTCTGGTAGAGGAAGGGAGAGGGTGTTCAGAGTTGGGGGGGGGGCTGATGTGGGAGCCAGGGTTTGGGGATGGACTAGTGGAAAGGAAGTTGGCAGGAATTGGGTTGGTACAGCTAGAGTTGAAGCCCTTGTTTCTGAAGTGGTCAGAAGCTGAGGGCCTTGAGTGCCATGGGGAGAGATAGGGAGAGAGCTCTGCTGGGCTCTGGGGGTGGGGGGTGGTTTCATGGAGCCCTAGGCTTAGCTCCTGCTTGATGGGACCTGAGCATGGGCTGCTTTCGCATTTGAACAGTGAGAACTGGAGTTGAGAGTAAGAGGGCCCTGCTCTGCCTGCTGGGACCTGGGTAGATCCCTTGGGAAGAGGCTGCCGTTTCTGATTTAGCAGTCCCTGTGGGCCCAGCAGCCCCGTCCTGAATATTCGTGTCCCATTGCACAGAACTCAACCCTGGGTCTACACCGGGTGTGCCACCTTGCGGGGAGGCCTTGCTTAGGTGTCCAGACACTGAGGGACTGGGTGTGAGTGAGGTGGCCTTCCTTTGCCCCCCTCCCCCTGCAGTGCTTTTGGAGCTGGGGTGGGGGGATGAGGGTCTCCTATTAGACTTCTGAAGACCTGCACCTTTTAGTGCCTTAACCAACCTACGTGTGGGAGAAGCTGCTTCCTGAGCTGTTTCTCTGGCCACAGACAGTTCCAGTGGACAGCTTCCTGGTTTCCTAGGGGGCTTTACCCCAACAGGCACCACCATCTGCTGAGAAGCAAAAAGCTCCCACCAGTCAGGTGTGAACTAAGCTCTGGGTTCCTTGGCAAGGGCTTTATATACTCCATTCTCCCCTTTTTATAGGTGAGGAAACCGAGACTCAGAGGTCAGTTCTTTGCCCAAGGTCTAAGAGTGATAGAACTGGTATCTAAGCCCTGTGTGGGCTGACTTTTCTGGCCCATGCTCTTAATCACCACACTCAGCTGTGCTCCCACAGGGCACAGGGTGTTGTGCTTTTGAGGGTGTGATGGAGTGGTCATCCTTCCCAGCCCCCAAAGGCCCAGCACCTGCTTACTCTTGGTCTGAGGGACCAAGACTCTTGGTCTTCCTCAAAGGGATCAGGGAAGGCTGCATGGAGGAGGCAGTCAATGGGAAGATGAAAGCTAATTCTCCTTTGTTTCTCAAAGGATGTGGTGGGAGGAGGAAGGTGGGGTGGGCAGAAGAGCTCCCAGCTTCTTGGGAAGGAAATGTGCTCTTTGTCTGGTATTGAAATGGGTCCTGAAGAACCAACTTAAGTGTTAATGATTTATCACCCCCCCACACACACCATCTGCTTCCAGAAAGAACATTAGGTGGAATGTGATACTCAGCTACGTACAACAGGAGTTAAAGTCATATATTTCTAAAAGTTCGTGTTGTGTGCGTAGGAGGGGAAAGTATTGACTTGAGACCCAAAAAAGATCATTGTACCAGGAATCTATAGCAAGTTTAAGGCTGTTGATTCTTTGTCGAGTTTCCTAGCAGCCTAGGCAAGAAGGGAAACATGATGAATTTATGCAGATAAGCATCTAAAAAGCAAGTAGGCAAGTTTGAGCTAGAGACAACTCGTTTGGTCCTAAAAATCTGGAGGTTTTGGGGTGCCTGGGTGGCTCAGTGGGTTAAAGCCTCTGTCTTAGGCTCAGGTCATGGTCCCAGCATCCTGGGAGCCCCAAGAGCCTGCTTCCCCTTCTCTCTCTGCCTGCCTCTCTGCCTACTTGTGATCTCTCTCTCTCTGTCAAATAAATAAATAAAATCTTAAAAAAAAAAAAGAAAAAAATCTGGAGGTTTTGATGTTGCAGGGGTGTGGCTACGGGGTGGAAGGAATCTTGTGGAAGGTGTGGTTAACTGATCCTTACAGCTCTGGGGAGAAGCATTATCTTACCTGGGCTTACTGATGAGCAAAGAGTGAGGAACTTGTATATAAAGTCACACAGGGTAGAGTGGCAGTCAGAATTTGCACTCACATCCAAAGCGGGGCTCTAGCTATGCTTCCTGGGTTTTTTTTTTAATTTTTTTGGTAGGGGGTACAGATTCCTGGGGTGCTTTGGAGGGGAAGGAAGGGAGACCTCCTTCAGGGAGAGAGATTTATCCAGGGCCAGGGCCACTAGGGAAGGCTTCCTGACAGAAGTGGGCTCTGAAGGGTTTAGTTATAAGGAAGGGAGTCGTAAGAAGGAGGTTCCAAACAGATAAACCTTAGAATAGCTTGCCCAAAAGCCTTTCAGTCAGAAGGCATCCCTGAGGCCTCGGGCATAGAAGCCCATATAAATGGGCAATCAGTGTTTGGCACCTTCTTTCCTTTTTTGCTGGACCTCTTGGAATTGGAGGTGGCCACACCATTTCCGTTTTTGAACAAAATATCAGAAGCTTCACCCACCACTAGATCACAGTGACCCGTGGGTGATGCAGAGTATTGGTGGGAGCACTGGCCTGAAAGCAGAGAGCCTTGGGTTCAGATCCTGGCTGCCCCTTCCTGGCTGTATGATCTTGCACCTTCCCTAATACCCTAGAGCTTCTGTTTCCTTGTTGGTAAAATAGTGACTATGGAATAGTGAGGAATGTGGAATATGGTGCTGTAAAGGGCTTAGTGCCGCGTGTGTTGGAATGACGGGCAGTTAGGATTCACAGAGCCGTAGAATCATAGGGTTCTTCATGCTTGCTCCCAGAGGTCCCGCGAGCTTACTTGCTTCCAGGAACGGGGAGCTCAGTCTCTCTCAAGGCTGCCAGCACCATCCTTGTGTATTTGGGAGTATTAGAAGGTTCTTCCTTGTGGTAATCCTGGCTCTGTCCCCAGTCCCAGCAGGCACTTCACCTTCCTCTCCCGGTGGGGGTCAGGGCAAGGCCTGCAAGTCCCCTCTGTCCTCCAACAAGAGGCTGCCCGGAGGAGATTGTGGGGGTTTCCAGGGTGTGAGCAGAGCTCGGTCTTGTTGGAAGTGCAGTGCTGGGGCCTCCCAGGGTGTTCTTTAGCCCTGAGCTATGTGGGTTCAGTCTCCTGGGTACATAATGCCAGGCCCCGCAAGCTTGCTGGTCCACCTCCTATGCCCAGAGGAAACCAGTGCTTGGTCTTGTTATCTCCACACACACACACGCCCCACTGGTTGTGGCCTGGAGGGAGTTGAGTGTTTGGAATAAATATGTGAACACATTCTCCTTACAAAATGAAAACCTTTTACAGATAAGGCCAAAGTTATTCTTGGATTGCTTGCCCCTCTCCCCAAGGGGACCCCTGTAGGGAGTTGCCAGTTCTTTTTCCTGTGCATTGTGAAAAATACAGGGATGGTTTTATGCCCTCTCCTTTGTTCGGTAAGTTGCATTTCTTTTTTTTTTTTTTTTTTTTGTTAAGTTGCATTTCTTAACACCCAGGCCACCTGAGATCCCTTCTGTTATTGTCCCTCCCTTTTAACCGATTCAGGGCATGTCCTGGTGTCAGCTGGTGTTCACGTAGCCCTTTCTCTCCTGATGGGCACGTTTAAAAAAATTGTATTCCTTGAGAAAATCACACAGGCACACAGCAGAACAGTCCAACAATACAAAGGGTAATTAATGCAAGTGTCATCTCTCTCCTCCTGGACCAGCCCTG